CGTGTTATTTGCCACACACAAGACCTCATTTAGAATGCCCATTGGTGAATGGGCTCATAGAAATGTCACTCAGCTGTGTATAGGAAACAAGTTAACTGTACCTAAGGGTATCTTTAACTGCTACAAATATGCCTTGTTGAGGTGCTGCACATTTTCTTCCAGAATATTGCTGTCTGAGGCATCATGTGAAGAGCGTCTACCACATCAGCATTTATATGGCTTGCCAAGTTACGTTTGGCCGAACCTTCCTTTTTTTCACATTTCGTTTTGCAGTAGACATCCTAGAATGTAAGCACTGCTGCAGTGTGTGTGACTCATTGTTATGAATTGATTCTGGCATGTTTAACCTCACACTTCTATTTTTTTTCTTGCAGAAATGAGATGCTTCACATATGCCTGCGGTGACGTTCTGCTGCGCTAGCCTGATGGAAACACCAGCTGCGACACTTGAGTTCTTCAGAATTGGAGAAGTTGCCCTTCTCTCACCAATGATGACACAGACTGCCCTATGCTAGAAATTCAAGATTGTTTTTCCACGGATGACGCAGAAAACCTTTGATGTATTATGGTGTTTGTTTAGTGCTGGCTGTGGTGTGGCGAAGTCTACTTTTACGTGTGGTCACACGTCGCCTCATAAAAAGAACAATAAAGCATTTATTTTCCTTTCAATATTGTCCACTTTTTGCGTTAGAAGCACCCAAGCAGTGCTCTTCCAAGGAACTCTCGCCATGTGTTAAGCGTGTGACGAGCATACTCGAGATAAATACTCATTTCCCCAAGGAGTAACTGGAAGCATGTGCAGTTGGTTTTCAGAGAGTAACTGCGAACACGTGGGAGGAACGGTAAAGAGTAACTGTTGCTCTTAGAAGAGCAACTGGTGGGAGTAATGGTTGGTCGACAGGGAGCAACTGGTGGGAGTAACTGTTGGTCTGCAGGGAGGAACTGGAGGGAGTAACTGTTCATCCCCCGAAGGAGGAACTGAAAGGAGAGCAACGGTTCCTCCCTCTGCAGTTACTCCTTTTAGGAGAGTAATGGGAGTGGCAATGCAATTGCTCCCTGAAAGGAGCAACCCCTATACCCCTGTTGCTCCGTTTTGGCTTAGAGTGTAGGTACTCGGCTTCTGACCCGCAGATCGCGATATCAAATCCCCGCTATGGTGGCTGCATTTCGGATGGAGAAGAAAATGCTGCAGGCCTGTATGCTCAGATGAGCGTGCACTTTTAAAGAACCCCAGATTGTCAAAATTTGCGGAGCCCTCCACTACGGCGTCTCTCATACTCATATAGTGGTTTCGGGACCTTAAACCCCACACATCAATCAATCAGCTTATGGTGTAGTTGAATTTGGTGGGCGGCGTGAGCACCCTTACGGCGCATGCGCGAAAACTGGCCCAAGCACTGCCAGAACGCACTCACTCCTTCACGAGTTCCAGCCTGGGTAAGCCACGGAGGCTTCTTACCATTTCACTCTCTCAGAAATCATGGGATGACATCGGGGAACGGGATTACACAGACGCGCGATGAGCCAACGCGCTTTATCTTAGTAGGAGCGCAGTGGCACGCGCTAGAGTGTTCGTACTGGCGTAAGTAGCGCGCGCTGAACGCACGCGTTCTCGCGCGGCAAGGAGCTCGCATGGCATGTTCCAAGAACAGTTCGGGACGAGTAAACCATATTACGTTCCACTCGTGCTATGTTCTTCTTGAGTCATCAAGATGGCTCCGTTTTCGACTGGGGACGAATTGTAGCGAAAAGGAATGCCCACTGCAGCAGCCACATGGTCATGCTGGCGTGAGGCTTCGAGCTAGAGCGGCCTGGTTGATAGCTGCTGCGACGCTTCCCGTATAGCCGTCCAGCTTTGCTTCTACTGTTCCGATGTCACTACAACTTCTCGCTGTGATATAGGGGAGTGAGGCAAATTTAGCTCCATACATTCATTTCACAGAGAAGGGGGCGTTGCGATGAACCTTAACCCCTCCCCCCTCCTGAAGTGGAACCGTGCGCATGCCTATGTTTTCACCAGGAAACCAACTTCAGTTTTCTATCTTCGTTCCGAGCGAATATTAACATATTTTTCTGTTTTGTGCGCGAATTCGAGCAAGCGACAGCTGCAGAACCAACCATGATTGCACGAGCGATTGAATTGCATCACAATCGAAAGAAAAGACGTGCCTACAGCTCCAAGAACGCTGCCAGCGAAACAGCACGCCACGAATATCTTGAACCGGAAGTCGATGCAGACGGCGCCTCTAATGAGCATTTGCGAGTTTACGCCTCACCTATAAATTGTGTGCACGTGCGTCACGCAGCGACCCTTCGTCACTTCCGAAATGTGCCACCGTCATTCCCGGGTACCTACCAAATCTGCCACCTACCGCTGCTGTGTTGTTTCCTCGAGCTTGCACCTGTTTAGTTTTGCCTCCTGATGCAAGTTTCGAGTAATTATTGGCTGCTAGTGAGGCAAGTTGATTTAGTTGTCCACGAAGAGGGAGCAGAGCTTCGGGGTGTTTCTTTTCCGAAAGTTATTGCCTAAAATTTAGAACGCATATTGCGATTTTCCGCAAAACCGGCGTGTTTGGCTGGCGCGGAATAAAATAAACTACTTGAAGAAACTCAGTGATATTTGCATCTTCAGGTGTAACTTCATGGCGGGTAAGTGCCACAGCCAAGCACTTACGTGCAAACAGAGATAGCTTACCAAGATACTGTAACATACAAACTTGTCCGGGGTCAATGCGTGCTCAATCAGCGTGTCAGGGAGGCGGTTAAAACCGTGATGGCAATCACGGAAATTTGGGTATTGCATTGAAACAAACTGTGAAAATGGATGCGAAGCAATATTAGTTCACTTTAAAGTATAGCCAATTTGATCGAGTTGGGGGGGTCAGGATTTAAAAAAAAGGTCAATTAATTCTCTAAAACGGTCTCCGTCATTTTCAGGGACTCAACTGTGCATTAGCGTACAACAAAAGTAAAATACAAGGTGAAAGAGGTGTCCAAACATACGCAAAAAAAAAAGGGCATGACCGGCATTACCGCGGTACGCACCACGCGAAGTCTCTATCTTCCTCGCATAATATTTTCCTCGGCTGTTTTCACAAGTTTTAATCAGAGGGGCTCAACATCACCACTGTTTGATACACTTTGAAGGGTGGGGGGAGGCACTGCTACTTTGGTAGCGTGGGCCGCAGCGATATATTGATAATCTCTTGTGAACTTGCCTAGCTCTGCTCGATTCGTTTTCGATGGGAGCTGCTGCGCTTCGCTCATCCACTTTTAAAATTGCGGCTCGAGGCTGTAATTTGCTCTTGCGCCACGCAATTTGTAATATTTGCAGTGAAAGCGAGATAATGGGCCCTCGTAGGTCGTGGCGGGCAGCCGGTGTCCGCAGTGGCTGGTATACGTGTCGCACATCTTGATTTTCTGGTCATGTATCGAGTGAACAAGCGAGGACTTGCTGATTCGATGAGCTCGTTAAGGCACGACAACAACAAAAAACCACAGTGCTTCCGTTTCAACATCGTCCACAGCAACAGATGACGAGCCCCCAACAAACCACGCTGCACCACGTGAACTACCGTAGGTACCCAGGTAGGTACCCAGGCATGGTGGGAGAGGGCGACAAGGACGGAAGTGACATCACATGAACACTATGTATAGGAGTGCGCACGTGGAGTTAGTGGGTGGCTACTCCCATGGCAGACCCTTACATTGACACAATAGAGACGGGGTGGGCTCCGACCAACCCTTGCTCCCACCGTAGGAGACAGCTGACGACGTCTATACTCAGTACAGATCTATTGAGAAGTCATTGCAATTGTCATTACCCTTCCTACAGAGCTACGACAGTTTCGGACACGCTTGCGATGGGCTTCGGTCGGAAGAATGAGCATTTATGTACACTTTGTACGGGAATTAAAATATATTCTAAATGTTTGCAGCGTTCAACCATGCGTGTGGAATGTCCTAGCGTACAGAGGCAACCCACAAGGGGCTTGCTTTAGCCTCGAATATCGATAGCACCACCCTTTAAAATAAATACTATTTTTAATGCTGGGGGGAGGGAGCATAAGTCATAACGACTAGCTTACAGTCTTACAGTACAGACGGGAATTAAAATATATTCTAAATGTTTGCAGCGTTCGACCATGCGTGTGGAATGTCCTAGCGTACAGAGGAAACCCACAAGGGGCTTGCTTTAGCCTCGAATATCGATAGCACCACCCTTTAAAATAAATACTATTTTTAATGCTGGGGGGAGGGAGCATAAGTCATAACGGCTAGCTTACAGTCTTCGGAATAACATTACGTGATTGAGAAATGAGTCATAATTGAACATGTGTGTAATGTCAGAAGATAGAACGCTCGATGTAAGAATGGCGATGAGAAGGGGCGAGTGATGGAACAAATTAGTGCGGGCAAAAATGGGCTCAAGTTCAGGCTGGTAATCTAGCCATGAAGATATATAACGACCTGGCCTGATAGAAGGTATTGACTCATTGCTGATTGTAGTGAAGCTTTTGAAAGAAAGGCAATAGTGTCAGAATCGAACGCTTTAATGGAGGAGCTTAACTGAGTAAGGATTTGATGTCAGTTATGCTTGATGTGCGCAAGTAATTCTTGTTTTCGATGGGATGAAGCGAGCAGCCTTATTTTTTACAGACTCGAGCTTCTCAATGAGGTAGGCCTAGTGTGGATTTTGGAATAAGGAGGCGTACTGAATTCGTGAGCGCACTACGATCTTATAAGCTAAAAGCTTAGTCTCCGAGTTTTCCAGGTGAATAGTTAAGGCACGTTGACAATGAAGATTCGCTAGACAATGCTGCAGTCTTCTTTGCGTTGGTAATGTGCTTGAGCTCCTAAAAACGCACTGCCGAAGTTATGTCGTCGGTGTTTTTATTCTCGTGCCAGAAACAGTCCAGAAAGAACGCAAAGCTATTCGTTGAAAAGGCGTCTAGGAAGCCCACACAATCACCTAGAAACGTACACGCGTGGAAACTCACCTCATTGGTCTGCTTCTTGTACAGCCTCAAGGTGGGGAAGCTCTGGATGTCTGTGTGCTCGAGCTCACTTATCGTGGCGTCCATCTTCACGATGAGCAAGTCCGCACGGTCATTGTACCTGTTGGCCAACCAGTCGTAGTCTAGCGTCAGATGAAAACAGAGGGTGCACCAGGGCGAGTAAAACAGCACCAGGACGTCCTTGGTCTTGTCAAAGACGACTTCATCAAAGTTCTTTTGCACGACCATCTTGGCGCGATGGATTGTCGAGTTAAACGAATCTGCGAGCCAAGGTGTTTCTTTGATGCTGCCGTTCAGCACACCCTCAACGAAGGTCTTGATGTCTTCAGTTTTGAGTGAGTCCGCCTTGGGCATGAAGGGTGTCACAGATCCGACACCGTCATGCTCGGCGAAGCGCAAGGCGGGAACATTGCCCTGCCAGATGTGGAAGTACATGAGGATCAGTTCGAAGTGTTCTTTATCAACGTTGATGGTTACGAAGACAACCTGCAGCGTGGAGATAAAAGCCAGAGTATGAACGCAATGTGTAGAGAAGTTCACGCATAGAGATAATGAGAGAACGAAATGGATCTTAGAACTAATGGGGAGATCACACGCAGCAGGCTTCCTGCTGTAAAAACCTCAAATCATGAAATGCAGGGCATTTCTAAAGTGAAATCGCATGAACCTGCAGGTCAATCACTTTACATTGCCTACTCAAGTGTAAAGAACGTGCATTAGAAATCTATCAAATCATTTAGGACAATACCTCATATGATTGGCCAATCGAATACACTCAATCATCTACAGCTGCGCTGCCCAACAGTTTTCACAGCATAAAGCTAGCCAAACCTGAAAGTAATATTAAATCTTCCTTTTGAAGACAAAAGAAGAAATCAGCACAGAAGTATGATAGTTCTAAGCTTTGGTGCCTCAGTTTCGGGACAATGCGACAGGGATGCTTTCGATGCCGTTTGTGATTATATTCAGGCAACCAAACGTATACCTTTGGGATGTTGAATAAAATAATTATTATTTATTACGCCATCCAAAAATTCTTATTGGCGAAGTGAAGAAAACCCAGCTGAGTGGTAATCACAACACCTGAAATCTCAAAATTTCTCAACTTGACGTTTCTATATTTTTATTTTTTCTCGTTATCTCACTTTTTATGTGGTTTTCCTTACATTAGTTATATTATAATACAAATTCATTACACATAGTTAAAATGATAACAGAAAACACTGCACTACGCTTTCTTGGCCAATCCCCCTGAGTGGGTATGAGCCATGAATCCAGGAAAACAAACAAACGAACAAATTATCTGTGATTGTTGTGTTGTGAAAATAACTTTGGTTTTGGGAACTAAAGTACGTCCATCCGTTGTTGTTACCCACACATTTTGTTAATAAAATCGGTGATTAAAGAAATGCGTTAGAAATGAGCAGTATGCCTTTCAACGAGTCACTGGTATGCAATGTGCCACACCTGGTGCCTGAAGAAAGCGGCAGCCTTCCTGAAGTTCTTCAGAGCTTCCGTCATGTCGGCACTGTTCCTGCTGTAGAATAGCAGGCTAAACTGGCGAATCGGGCCGCTGAGCAAGTCGTTGATATTCTGAAATGACACAATTAACCGAAAGGGTTTAATAGACCTCAGAAAGCGATAGTTTTGATGGAGAGTTTTTTACAGTAATTTGTAGCTTTGCGTTGGATAATGCCGAAATGATATCGAAAATGCTCATACTCCTTGTATAATAATGCTAGAGGCGTTCATCTAGAATGATTTTGCGTCAGTTCGAATCACCCGCCTATATACCATAGGAGGCTATCCAGCGCCTGCCTCTCACTCGCTGGATTCAGTGCCGACTGGTTGTGCCCTCACGATCTCCGATGACAGCGTAGCTCTGGCCGACTGAATTAGCCCTACCCCATCTTCTGTCATCGACAAGAGCTCTCGCCAGTAGTGCCCCGTCTTCAGACCTATGCAACCGTATCCATCTTTCCTGTCTTCTCCTTACTTCCGTCGCTCCCTGTCATTGCGCCTCGCGCTCTCCGTCCTCTCTCTATATCTCTCTACCTTTTAATACTATTCTTTCATTTCCTTTTCTACCCCCATTCTTAGTGAGCTACTGTTGAGGTGTCCTCCCCCTGATAGACAGTTACAGGGCTCACTTTTCTCTTCTTTTCATTTAAAATCACTTCCCCAGTGCCGGCGCCTACCTACGCTAAAGCTTAGGTGACAGTGAAACACGCTGTTTTCCCGAAAGATGTGAAGGGGGGAATCACGGGTAGTGAATAATAAAATATTGTGGGTGCTTTGAGCCTGTCCCAATCTAAAAAAAAAGCATTCCTGGAGTAAAGCAGGCTGAATGAACCACCTCGAAAGCAGCCTGACAACAGAGCGAGAGAGGATGAACAATACTCACCCCTCTCGCTCCCGCTCTCGGGCTGCTTTCGAGACGAACAATAGTCAGAGAGCTGAGTGAGATTGCAACCGAGCAGGACATGTGGTGCGTTTAGGGCTACAAATGGCGCCTCACAGAGTACACCGGTAGAAAACGCTGCAGCAGGACATCGTCGTGAATAGGGGAGACCCGCTCAAGTTTGCCCGGCGACGCCAGCGCTTGCCTTTCCCCTGCCAGAAAAAGCGCACAACAGAAAAGTCTTCCAACCCTTCCACTCCCATTGGCTTACACGCTTTTCTACTGATTCCCAAACCGATGGTACGAAACAAGCAGACGACAGAAATGGATTAAAGCAGTGCGCCGAACAAAGTATGTAAACAATTTTTTTCATAAAAATTAGCACGCACACAATGCATTCAAAATTACGGGTGTTGATTCCTGCGTCACCGTTCCTCTAATCTATCGAGTTACTGGGAAATGCACGTCCCCATCTTTAGAGCACTGTTAAAAAATAGAGAAGAAATATTTTATGCTGCTACTATTATTCGATATTGTTGGGGACGTAGTAGTTGAAGCTGTGTGCACATGTGGTATTGGTAATGTGTTGTTTTATATTTTTAAATCTACGCAGCGCCGACGGTAGTGTACGGTTGCCAAAAGCTTGGGAAACGATGAAAAAAAATGCATTAGCCGTTGTGGCACGTCCGTTGGCAGATACAGTGAACTAGCTGTTACTGAGTGTGCAGGGGTAGCCCGAACAACACGGTGCGTTTTTGATACGTGACCAAGATAAAATGCCTTTATAGCAATTCACTTTTCCCCTGCAGATTAGACACACAAAAAAGTTTCTCTGAAAGCTGGGCGCTCATCATGATGGTACGCACGCTGTTCGTGAACTCAAGGTACCCGCGATGAGAACGGTGATAATACAAGGAAAGACACGCAAGAAAGATGTCAGTTTTCGTTGTGGGTCAGAAAGAAGCCCCAAATAGACCATTTATTTTTGAAGTGCTGTATACATACCGCACGATAACTTGGGTGGGTGCTAGTAAATTAAGGTATCCCAACTAATAGCAGTCACAGCGCAAGAATTGCTTAACCTAAAGCACGAGAAGCGGCCTTGCCCATGCATCCAGTAACAAACATAGTGCATAGTACACAGAGTAAACCAAATAAAACAGGTATATAATCATGAACGTACAGAAAGTTTTATTCACCTCTAACGTCGTAAGCAGCGTCGTCTTTCACTTGCGAAACGCACTTTGCTCTGACGAGAACGGCGTCGTCTGCTACAACTTGCTTGGCTCCCATTTTACCAAATTGCTGCCACGAAAAAAAAATCCTCAATTGCGGCAACCTATTAAATGCGGACATAGCGCATACATCATAACCGTGCGCGACGCGAAACTCTCAGAAACACGTGCAGAACGCGTGCAGCGTGCGAGCAAAGCAACGCGTTTTTCAAGCAGGTTGAATGGGACAGCGGAGGGGTGAACACTCGAGTAACCAGTTTTCTCCCCACATTGACTGAAAGCGCCACACTCCGCAGCGCCTCCCTCGGCGTGGGTCTCCTCTATGGGGAAGTGTGATCGGTGCCCACCCAGCCGCAGCAGGCTCAGCAGAAGCCTCCAAGCTCTAAAAATGAAAACCCAGCTCAAGAAAGGAGGTTGTTGGTGGTGGTTCGAAGAAGAATGAGGCGCCTAATGGCAAATTTTACTGGTAGATCCAGAGTGGCCGCCTAAATCTTGGAGCGAGCTCTCGGATTGTGCCGAAGGAGTTCTGCGAGGGGAGCCCGTGAATGCCCCGTGTGAGGTTCCGGAGGTTTTCACGCATAGGTCACTAAGTCGGTACCGGAAACGATTTTCTTTTCTGATATCGACGTTTCAATGACAACTGTGTCGCCACTTCAAAGCACGAATTTCTAATTTTAGGAATGTCAACAAGAGCACAGGGTTACGAGACTGCCTCGAAAACACTGAAGGCAACCCAGCTGGCCGACTTTACCGGAATTGATGGCAACCCATTCTCGGAGTTCTGCGAAATCCGTCTCTGCAAGACGAAGCACGCGGAACGCTCCGTCGCGGAGTGGATTGCTCTAAATGTACCAGTGGAAAATGAGAACTTGCTTCGAATCTGCCAGTGAAACACGGATTGTCAGCTTTGGAGCAAAAAAACTTGCTCCCGCTCGACGAGTGGAATTCGCCATAATTTCTGCAGCCCATCACGGGAAAGTCTATTGACTCCCCAACAGGTTGTAGTCACGTGACTACAGGGAAACGTGACATATTACTTCATTCGTAAAGCAGTCGGCTTCAAATGGCACTGCAACTGGCTACGTCTTGTCAAGCGAGTTTGAGGTCACCTGACAAAAAACAGGCGCGTTTTGTTTATAGTATAATTCGCTTGCACTATTTCAAGTTATCTTACATTCTTGTGGTCGTCATCCACGCTGCGTGGTTCGTTGACTTGGTAGCTCCATTGCGCCGCGGTACGCCGTTTTCTTCTGCATTGCACCAATTCACACCACGTAGCAACTCGGCTGAACAGTAATATTATTTGTTAGAGTTTAAAATCCCAAAAGCAGATCTGAATATAAGGGGTGCCGTAGTGGTGGGCTGCGGTAATTTCGACCACTTCGGCTTCTTTCTTGTGCCTCAAACTCAGTTCGCAAGGTCTCAAACAAATTTGCGTATATCGAAAATGCTACCACCATGGATTCCGCCCCTCAACCTTCGGATCACCTAGGCAAGCGACCAGAATGAGCGCTCGTTTCACTGGCGAGTCGTGTACCATGCGTAACTTAGTAGAGTACAGGTCACGGGTCACCGAAAAGACACTCCGAACTGCACTGACGACGTTTTCTGATTTCCACTATTTTGAAAGAGTCAAAATTCTTGCATTTGCAAAGCCGCAAATGTGATATTCTCAAAAATGGGCAGTCAACAACTAATAATATCGGTATACATGGTGCCACAGAATGCTGAAACGTGTCATTATGCCACTATAGACAAGTTTATTGACATCTGTATTTGTTGATGCTCAGTGGTTACTTCAAAGATTAGAAGCCAAACACCACCAAACACCGCCAAACAACCCTGAATGGCCGTCACGAAGACTCCAGGCAGTACACCTGAAGACTTCAGTACATTCCTTTGATGCAGAGCGTATGGCGCTAACAGACGTGTTAGGAAATGCCGGCAAGCATGCCCCCAACTATGTTTGCCGCAAAACAACAGGGCGCCTACATGGCCGGCCATTCATGTAGGTTCGATATACACAACAGACATGGCACTCCCCTTGACAACACTCTTTACTCCCATACCTACACAACGACACATGACACTCCCATGGGTGCCACAAAGGAGTGACTTCAATTGCGCGTGGCCTTCCTTTGCCGGGCTCTTTAATCCAACAGGGCACACACAAGAAGGCGTATATTGATGGCAAAAAAAAAACAAAGCGCCCTCCCCGCCTGCTGTCGTCTCTCCTATGGCCAGGGCCATGGCCAGGACTCAGGAAAAAGCTCCAAAGCCTCGTTTCTTTGTTTTTTTTCGCCTTTCTAATGTCGTATGTGATGTTTCACTTTGGTTCACGTGACCCCGAGCTGTTGAGGTGCAAACGGACTCTTCCCATTAGGGAGACGGAGCAGCCATCATACTTCAACGCTCTCCTTAGCTCCGAGCGAAAAGAAAATGCTAACTGGAGCTTCCTCCTCTCCTGCCAAGGCTTCCTGCAAGAGATTTCATCCTCGCTGCAACATCACCTCCTCTCGTTTCTCAACCACTACGGATGCCAAGCAAATGGCGCCCGCACCAAGTGTGCTACTTTTAGGTGGTGGTGGTGGTAGTGGTTAGAAAGAGGAGAAAAGGCACCAGCTTCTGCAGCCCGGTAGGGAGCACGGCGCAGTGCCTTTTAGGTAGCCACGGCCGGGCTAGACTGCATCTGCGCACGCTTCTTTTCTTACGACCTTCTAACCCGTCGCGAATACAATGGGAGAGTTTCTGAGAATGTTTCCCGACCCGTCGGCGGTAGGGGTGCAGTGACCCTGACATTGAATCTTCTGCTCTGAGCACTCGGCACAAGGAAGTTTGTCGTTGTGAAACGCTGGAACAAGGGTTCTCGACGAAGAGGGGAAGGGGTATTATTAAAGATATCAAAAATAGTGGGAGGACTGCCTACTAAAGAAAAACTAATTTACCAGGTTGCTTGCCACCTAATGTAGGTGTGGATGTGCTCTTGGATAATACAAGGCGACCTTCATTCAAAATGCGGAAGAATCGGCTAATGAGCGGCATAATTCATAAGGTATAAAGCACTGGCAACTATCAGAGAGAACCTGTTCTGCAATCAGAGCACTAAACACCTTTGGCCCTTGGTCTTGTCGGACAACGACGTCGCAATGGTGAGAGGTCGCTCAGAGAATGATGAGCGCACCTTCCCTTTTCTAGCTATTTTCTATTTTTCTTAATTTTTCCCAATACATTTGGAGTGTTTTCATGGCTAAAAGCTTCTGCCTGCAGCCTAACAACTCTTTTAAACACGTACGTGTATTGTACATTCAATGGCTAATAAATTGCGTATGGGGAGAAAGTAAAAAAAAAGAGAGAGAGGGCCCTTGCTGCTGAATAACGTGTTTGGACGGCACGCACAGAGGGTGGTGGTGTGCATTGTCAAGGTGTTAGGTTCACCTTGAAATATTGATTCCGGAGAAGACTAGCTATATAACATTCCTTTGTACTGCAAGCCACGTCGATGAAAAACGCGAACGAAGTACACAGCTACTTACGCTCGCAAGCCGCTTGCCCAGGAACTAAAACTGTAGTGTAAATGAGTTCTGCGCCATGTTTATACAATTCGTAGAACAAGATGTTTAAAAATAGAAATTGACAACATTAAAACTTTTCGGCAAGTAAGCAGCTGTTTTTCTGAAAAATCTTTATAAATTTTGTTGTGACTTCTTACTACAAGCAGGTTGTTATAAATTCACTGTTATCTCTAATGTGACTTGCTTTATTCTGGTAATTAACCACCATGGCTACATTTTATTCAATGCTTTCTCAGTGTTCAGTCTACAGTAGTTTTTTCAGCAGAGAAGTAAGTCG